AGGAAGAACTTCTTCCCTCTGAGGGTGACGGAGCCCTGGAACAGGCTGCCCAGAGAGGTTGTGGAGTCTCCTTCTCTGGAGATATTCAAGACCCGCCTGGACGCAGTCCTGTGCAGCCTGCTGTAGGTGACCCTGCTTCGACAGGGGGGTTGGACTAGATGACCCACAGAGGTCCCTTCCGACCCCTACCAGTCTGTGATTCTGTGATTCCTGTCGTCATAAACTTATAGATACACATTGTTGAGGTAGGCAATCTAATTAAATAAACTGTTTTATATATACATTGTCTAAGTTCAATAATGTCCGAACATCCGGATTCTGAGGTAAGTGTATATCTGCTGCTTTTAAATAAATTTTAGTGCCAAGATAACATTTATGCAACCACTGAGAAATACTTCTTCTGTGATGATAAAATAAGGTCTCATGAGCCGACCCATAATTGTCACTATGTATAATCTAAATGAGGGGTCATTAAAAGTTATTGTGATTTTTTTTCCGTGTAGCCTGTGCATTTCCAAGTTACCTAATATTCTGATGCTTAAGTCTAGTAGCTTATGTAGAACAAATTGGTTATTTTCTAACAGAAAAATTACTTTATTTAGCAGATTGCCATTACTCTTATCTCTGAGTTGTATTTTTGCCAATGTATTGATTAGAGGAGCAGCCTAAATTAGCATAGGGGCTGGCTTCTGATTAGCATCTGTTCCTTTTTGTTAGTGAGTTATGATTTTTTTTTTTTTTATGTTTAAATCAGGAAGCCCTTACTCATTTCCAGAGTGAGGTTCTAGGTGCTATATACACACCAACAGGAGTTCCAGAGTCAGGGGTAAAGTGTTAGGACTCAGAGGCCTTGTGGACACATGTGTAATGTAAGCACTGGTTATGTTAATGATTGCAAACAGCTAAACAGTAAAAAATGTAAGTGCTCGAGGCTGTGAATGCACAGCCAAGTTAGACAAGTGGTTTCATCACTGATGCATCATGGACCAGCTGTCCCACTTGTTTGTTTTGACAGTGAGCCAAAGATTCTCATTCATGGTGTTTGGGCTTACATACATGAATGCACACAGCTTAGGCTGTGTATGTGATAAATAAGGTTAAGGTCTCACAAGTATTTTTAATTTTTTTAAACCACAAACATTGTATATACTCATTTTCCTTATTTCCTCTGCATGTATCACTTAACATTACCAGTTACATTGTTTGTAGGTATCGTAATATGAGTTTCTGTTGTTTCAGTTGGTGATAACCAAGTTCCTGAAAGCTATATACTACATGTGGTTGGTTTATTTTTAAAGAATGACAATAAATAAAAGTCCCTGTCTTGGGGAAAAAAAAATGGCGTATAGAGATTTCCTTGTTTATCCTAACTATATGTCTGCCATCTTCACATTCTCTAAACAATGGATCACTTGCCTCCTCTCTTTGCTCCACTGTTGAAAGGTTCCCTGCCTTGAAGCTGCATGTCTTACAAGCTAAGAGTAAGATGAGGACAGCAAATGGACAGCGAGATAGAACACAGACAAAATGGTACATTATTGGTCAGCAAAGCAGCATCTTAATAGATGTAATTTTTTTCATATGAAAAAGGATAGGTTTGAAAGAGGTAAATAAGTTGTTTTGTGGATAGATACGGGGAGTTCATCCCATGGATGGAATCAACCTGATAAAACCCAAAAAGATACCCCTGTGAAAATCAGAATGTGTGTGGTGGAGTTTGGAGTGTTTGAATACTAATTCCAGTTTTTCATTACTGAATGAAAGATATTTTTTGGAGATGAATTAGCCTGTAAAGTGCTCTGAACGTAAGGCAACTTGTATTTCAGGAGTGAGTGGAGAAGGAGTGGGAAGATATCCCAAGAAAATAAATATGTAACAAAATGGGAGAGACCAGTCAATCAGATACTGATTCTTGGACCATGTCTTGGAGGGCATGGCCAGAACAAGTTTGCATTTGTGAAGGTTGGAGATGGGGACGTTGCAGTGATCGGGATGTGAGATAATGAGTACCTTGTCAAGACTTAGCTACCCAGCTCGCTTAGAGAGCTTTATTCTTTGTGAAGTATGAGGAAACCACATCTTTATGTGACGACAAAGAAGCTGTAAGGAAAGATGTTTGCATTACTGACCTGTGTGATGACGAAAGTAATGGTAATGTCTGCAATAACTAAGAAAGAACTAGCAAGGAAGAACCACAGCGTTTTTTAGCCATGCTGAATTCAAATTGATGCCTAATTGCCCAGAAATTGATGCTGGAGGCACAGGTTGAGATTTTAGGAAACTGATCACAGAATGTAAATTGTAGCATTTCACCTGTTTGTATCAAGTCCCACAAAGTATGACTGAGATTTGTTGCAGCTTTTCTCCTAAGGACATCTTTGAAGCCTATTGACAAGGCGATTTAAAAACTAAACCAAACCAAAAAAAAACCTAACAAAAAAACCCACCAATAAAAACCCAAACACTTTCTCCCGATGCTGTCGTTTCAGAAAAGGTCGTCAACCTGCACTATGAATTAATTATGAACTTTATATATTTATCTTTCTGTAAAGGTTCTTTTCTTACTGTAGTTGACATGAAAGGAATTTGGCTGTGCAGGCTCTGCTGCACAAAGTAGTAGAGAGGAAGGAAAGATTGTACATTGTGAGTAACATAGCTGAAAGCACAGATCAAAATCTGGAACTGTGTTAGCCGGAAATAACATGTATAAGCTGCTTTGACTCAACACACCGAGTCTTGGTGAGTAAGTGTTCATTCAGACCAAAAGCAAGATCAAAAAATAATTCACGCATGAGGAAAAGAAGGAAATTATTGCCTGAAGAAGGAAATGCAGTTAAGAAGTTGGTTTTTTCTTGGCCAAGTGTCCTTCCGCCCACAAAGATTAATTTGCTTTCTCTGTAGTGTGTGCTAAATTATTAATACAGATCCGTTGCATTGCTGTTCTAGTCATGTTCTAGCCATGGTTTCCACTGGTGCGAAAGCTGTCACCAAAAGGAGCGTGGGGACCCAGACGGAGGTCCCCCACAAACACACAGGTGTCCAGGTCTCTGGCTGCAGGGCGTGCCTGAGCCTGGTGCTTGTGCCGGAGGACAGCACAGACAACAGCTGTGTTCAGTGCGACCAGGTGAATGATATGCTCAGCCTGGTGGCAGAGCTGAAAGAGGAAGTGGAGGGGTGAAGGAACATCAGGGAATGTGAGAGGGAGATCGACTGGTGGAGCTGCTCCTTGCTGTCCCTGAGGCCAAAGCAGCAGGAGGTGGCTCCACAAGAAGCAGAGGACCCCCTACCCTCTTGTCACCAAGCAGAAAGAGGGGACCTAAGAGATTGGGGGGAATGGAAATGGGTC